ACATACGTATTTTTCCGTTTTGTAAGGGATATATAAAGTTACTATTGTATATTCTGAGTTGTAATGGAGGGGGAAAAAACTGTACACCTGAACATAAGATCACATTTCACTGATAGATTCCTGCCATACATGATTTATAGATGGTATAAATCATTTACTTAGAACAATCTCATATACAGTCCTTCTAATTCAATAGTTTTTCCATTCTCAGTAAAAAAGAAAACGATATAATTGAAAATGGGATTGGAAATAGACCTAACTTATGTCTTAATTAATTATTTTAACTGCTAGGTAAGGTAATAAATGGAAGGAGTCCCCTACCCCATTAGTAAATTGACTGTTACCTGGCATCCACTTCTCCTCTCCTAAGAAGATCCAAAGTTTTATTCAAGAATCCACCTCTTCTCCACTCAGCCAATAATTTTCAGGACAGGCTAATTCCACTTATGACTGATTTAGGATATTTTTGGCTCTAAGAAAACTATACCCCAATCAAATTAGGTTTAATAAAAAGGGATTTTATTGGACCACATAACGATATAGCTCTGAGTTAGAGCAACATTTAGGGATGGGAACATAGAGGAAATGAACAGAGGAGCTACTCTAAAAAAACAGAAGCAAATGCTACTGATTAGCTAACTAAAGGACTCACTTTATTATAAGGAAAAGGAGCGTTCACTATACTTTGTCTAGGGGCTGATATATGCACAGTGTGTTTACTATTCTCTATTTCAGCTGTTAGATTTTATTACTTTTGTCCTGTTTCTTCATCATCACTATTTATTGAATATGATGAAAGCAGATCTCCATCTAGGTTCTAGTTAGCAAGGAGGTAATTCTCTCATAGAAGCTTTGGAAATTGTTAAATTAAATTATTCAGAATGAATTATAATGTAACTTGAACAGAAAACAACATTGTCCATGTTTAGATTTTGTAGAATTTACTTAGTAAAATCACCAGGAAATAATTTGGCACAAAATCTAGAAAAAAATGTACCTTAAGTAAAAGTGTATAGCAAATTAAAGAGCTACATATAAGCTATTGTTACTCAGGATTCCTATCATAGTACTAGAAAAATACAGGAGATGAAAAATACCTGTGGTGGTATCACTCCTCCACACATGACGAGAATATCTGGCCGTCCAAGGGAGTTAAGCTGTTTGATGAGCTCAGGAACTAGGGTCTTATGGCCAGCAGCAAGTGTGCTCACACCCACAGCATGCACGTCTGCATCCACAGCCTGCTGGGCCACTTCTAGGGGAGTCTAAACAATTAGAAAATAGAAACGAATCATCATTTATTCCAAAAACTAAGTGCTGTCTACTTAATCATTCCAAGATTTTCCTCATTAAAAACCCTGAAGAGAATGTAACTTCATATTCCATCATTCTCAAATCATAAATACTAAACACCAGCACTGTATTTGCTTCTAGCACTAGAATTCATCAATTAGATTTAAGTTACAACAAAATATAGTTCCCTCCAAAAATCTTCACAATAAAGAATATAAGCAAAATATACTATCTCCTCATTGTAATTTTTTAAATTTAAATTCTCAAAGTTATTGTTTTTAGGATAGATTCATTCCGGCTATGAAAGAGAAACTTGAAAGAGAAAATCAGAAGAAAGCTTGATTTTCTAAGATCCTTTTATCTTAGAAAAAGCTGTTGAAAAAAACAATCTAAAACTTGTTTTACAACTAGATAGGTACAGATGAATAATGTCTTCCATAAAAGATACCAAAATGTTATTGTTTAAAATTAATGAGGTACTGTGGGTAAGACAGGTAGTCATAAAATACCACAAATAAATTTGGATTTTGCACATTATCTGTGACAATGTCATACAGGTCTAGCTCAGTAGGACTTTGAGGGTTCTTTTTAAGGAGGCACAACTAAAGACTGATATCCATGTGTGTAGACTTCAGTAAGTACTCACATGTAATACATGTGCTTTGCCTCATTTACATCTGGTCTTGGAGTATGTATTACTGGCAGAATAATTGGCATCAATGGCAAAATAGTAACCTTTCCATGGACCACAGCATTCTTTCCAGCATAACTGCAGTTAAAGGCATGTTGATTGACATGTGACAATGAGTCAGCATCTGTCCCATGAAAGAGTTGTATACCTATTCTTAGAATCCATGATTCTTTTTTTTGTCCAGTAGCCCTTTCAGTGACATGGATTCTATATCCTCTCAGTCAGTCTCAAGGTAGCTCTTCTGTATGTCCCCAGTTGTAGGACTTTAATTTAGTTAGACTTCAGGCGACTCCCATAATTTAGTTATACTTTTGATGTGGTTGTGAGAGGAGGCAAGCACAGTGTTTACCTACTCCATCTTGACCAGAAGCCTATAATTTTTTTAAAATACATGTCTTCATTATTAACATTTCCTGAGTTGTGCTGTACACCCAACATGTTATAGTATCTATGAAGATGTCAAAGACTAAACATAAAAAATAATGTGAAAAAGTAAATCTTAGGTAAATAGAGAAT